TCTCCTGTTTGTTTTACCTATTCCAACCAGTCTAATCCCACACCCTTGCTCACTCCTCATTCTCTTAAATATGGGAACAGGAGAAGAATGAGCAGCTCCTCAAGACTGATCACGGTTGGTCTGAATCCAAATTTCTATTCACCCACTTTGACAAAATAATCCTTAACACTATAAACTAACAAAAATCTAGCAATCTAATTTTTGACATTTCCAAATGGTCCACAGCTTCAGTTACTTTTCTGTAGATTTTTGTGCTTCAGATTTCCACCACTCTTTGCAATTTCTGGCATTACCCTGAATAGCCTGACTCTTAAGGTTTTAAGGTTGTGCCTCCTTTGTTCACCCACCAAAGGAAATAGTCTCTCTATCTGCTTACCTTAGCAAATCTTTTAATCATCTTGAACACCTCAATTAGATCACCCCTTAATCTTTTGTACTGAAAAGATTCCATGCAACCTGTTCTAATCATTTAATCTTGCCAGCACCGACAATGTTCCGGTGAATCTGCGCTGACCATCCCTTCCAAGGTCAATCTATTCATTGTGAGGTGTGGTGCTCAGAACACTCCAGCTGAGACCTGACCAGAATTTCATGCAACTATCAGATAACTTCCACTTTTTTGAATCTCAGCCCCTTAAGAGCCAATATTCCATTAAACTTTTAAGTATTCTACCCGTTCACTAGTTCCTAGGGGATTCTGTACTCACAACACTAAGATACCCTCTTAGATGCACAATTTTCTATTTAACAGATGTAGGTTGACAAACCTATACTTTTGGAGTTGACTTATTTTGCCCTTATTAAATAGTAGAGTAACCCTGACAGTTTTCCAAATCAAACCAAGGTGGCAATTCTTCAATTAAGAATTTTGGAAGATCCCGAGGATGCACCAACAATTTCTACACCCATTTCTTTCATTATGGAAAGGTTTGCAGTGCAGTGGAAAGCATTGCGCCTGTTGAGCAAGACATTCTGAGTTCTAGTCCCACCCCAGAACTGATAGTCACGGAAGAAGTGTTCATGATGTGGCCAAACAGGTTGCTTAACAATCTAGAAATATTGCCAATTAGCAAGCACAGAATCTCTTGATTAGCCATCCTTCATATGGATAGTGCCTCTTGAGCTGTAGGTATTGGAAGTTTATTTGAGAAAACAAAACAGCCATAGACACAGACATAATCTCTACAGTGTGGAAGCAGGCCATTTGGCCCAACAACTCCACACCACTGCTCTGAAGAGCATCCCACCCAGACCCATTCCCCTAACCCTGCATTTCCAATGTCTAACCCACCTAATCTACACATCCCTGAACACTATGGGCCATTTAGCATAGCCAATCCACCTATGCTGCATATCTTTGGACTGTGGTAGGAAACCCATGCAGACACAAGAAGAACGTGTAAACTCCACACAGACAGTCACCCGAGGCTGGAATCGAAGCCAGGTCCCTAGTGCTGTGAGGCAGCAGTGCTAACCACTGGGCCACCGTGCCACCCACATAAACATGTGCTTTGTCTGTCTCATACGATTATTAGACACAGGAAAGCTTCCTTGTTTTTTCACACTCTGGGAGAGGAGCCTGGTGATTTACCTATATTTAGTTTTTCAGTTATTACTTCTACATTATTAATTCATTGTTAAATCTAAGTTCCTGTGCTTGATTTATTTTAATTTTCTTCATATCTTCATCAAGTGCTCAGCAAGTCCATGATTTCTTGTTTCACAATTATTTCACCTGCATCTGTCTTTCAGGTGTTCATGTTATTCTCATTTAACTGTTCTATTGATTTCCCACCCAATGTCATCCAACTCTTCTGTTTATTCCAATTTTCCCAAAATATTCCTCTTCAAACAGTGAAGTGGTATGGTGGGTGCTATAGTGGGTGGCTCAGTGGTTAACACTGCTGCCTCACACCACCAGGTACCTGGGTTTGATTCCAGCCTTAAGTGACTGTCAGTGTGATGTTTGCATGTTCTCCCCACATCTGTGTGGGGTTTCTACTGGGTGCTCCGCTTTCCTCCCGCAGTCCAAAGATGGAGGTTAGGTGGATTGGCCATAGGAAATTGCCCTGCAGTGTGCAGGCTAGGTGGGTTAGCCATGGTAAATGTTGATTACGGAGGGTGGGCTGGATCTGGGTGGGACACTGTTTGGAGAGTTGATAGGTCAGGTAGCCTCTTTCTGCACTGTAGGCAAGTCTCTTTTAATGACATCTATGGCTCCTTTTCAATGGTTTGTGGCATTTTTTTGATTACCTATCCCTACAACGGGCTAGATTGTAGCAGCCTTACCTCGGAGTCCCAGCCCAAGACTAAAGTACAAAAGTTATTGAATCTATGAAAGATCTACTCTGACACTCTTTTTGTATAGCGCTGAAGATCCACTGTAGTGTCAGAGGTATCACCTTTTGCAATAGAAGTTTTTGAATAAATCATGGCCCTATCTGCCCTCTCAAGTGAATGTAAAAGATCCCGTGGCACTATCTTGAAGGACAAAAAAAAGTTATTCTGTGTGTCTTCATTAATGTTTAACCCTCAAAATCAAATCACTTATTGTCCATGATTAGAACACTTCAACCAGTTTAGTATTAAAAACACTTTACCCAAGGTGCGCTCGTTGGTGAGGAGGAGGACTGATAAAACAGAACTCAGTTTGCAGTTCAACTCAATTTTATTAACCCAAACGTTCATTATTAAAAACACCAAATGAGCATTTAACAAATTCCCACAATATTTCCTCTCGATTATCTGCAATGATTGACGTGTTTGAGCTGGACCATTGGAATCTCTTTCCTCTCCAATGTAAGTTTGGCTCTCTTCCACAAAAATGGGTCTCGCAAGTCAGGGTGGATCTTCTGGGGTTGCCACCCGGTCTTCCGCCTCCGGTCTTACTGCGAGTCTTCGCTGAGAGGGTGGCTTCCAGTTGTGTGTTTAAAGCTCCCATCCCACCCGCACCCCACCTTTCTGTATGTTATGTAGCCATGGCCAATGGGGTCATTAGCTGGGCTCAAAGCATCCAATGGATTGTGCAAATACCCTTCATTGTTGCAATGCAGGGGGGGTTTGAAGTACACATCCTCAAGCACTGACTGGAAGTCAAGGTGCCAGGAAGTCTGATCGAAACTTCTCGAATACACATCTCAGTTGTCCCCGTTTTTCAAGGACCGTAACTTCGCCCCCTCGGTGGTCGAGAACGCCCTCAACCGTGTCTCCCACATCTCCCGCACCTCATCCCTCACACCCCGTC